TCGGCCTGGACCCCAAGACGCCCATGGAGATGCTCTACCACCACGTGCACCGGCTCAACATGTCCGGACCGTTCGGCGGCGCCGTGAGCGCGGCCAGCCTGACGCAGATGCCCGCGGGCAACGTGTTCACCACGGCCGAGGGGCTCTTCTCCACGCTGCCCTTCCCCGTCTACAGCAACGGCATCCACGCCGCACAGACTCTGGAGCGCAAGGACGACTGAGGCGCCCCCGCGCGGGCGCTCGGCGTGGAGGCATCGCGGGCGTTTTCGTTTAGACCTTTATTCTAGCACTTTGAATTTGAGCAGGTCAGCGTCACCTCTCCACACGACGGTCCCCATCCCGGCCCCCCCTTTCTTTAACTTGACTTATTCTTTCCTGTAAAGATATGTTTATTTTTGGCCTTCAGAGGGTCCGAGGACCAGTTGCCTGCCGTTTTGTCTTCTTCTAAGATGTGTGTTGGGTTGTTTTGCTTTCCTTTGCATCTTTATTAAGATGTCTTTAATGCGTATATGCCTCTGCCATAGAATACTCAGTCTTGTGGTCAAGAGATTTCTCCAGTGACAACCATTGGGTTTTCTTCATCGAGATCTTGATATGATCAAGATTGAAAGAGACACGCATAAACAATGTGCCCTGTTTGACTAAGTCAAATGAAATGGGGTGGTTTTTGGTTTTGTTCCTAATTCCTTTAAAAATAGAGGGGATAGTATTTTAGAATTTTATGCAGAATTTAATTCTCTTTTTATGGTTAAGATTTTAAGATTTTCTTACTTGCACATAAAAATAATTTGGGTTCTTAAACTTAATTTCTGGCCTGTGACTAGAATGTTTGAAAAAACAACAACAACAGTGGGACTAAATGTTAATTACTGAAACATTAACTTAATTTCTAAAACCATGGTGCTATCATTTATTAATCTGTAATGTCTTCATATAAAATGCAGCTCCTGGGCTGGGTTTTGGGGAAAAAAAAAAAATGTGTACTGTCCTGGTCTGGAGTCCATTGCTGCAATCTCCTTGGTTAGTTAAGACAAAGCCCTCATTAACGTTTGCTGCAGGACTTAAAATTTTTTACCTCCCAACTAACAAACATAGCCTCACATTAAATGCAATGGGTCAGGAAAGCCCTTTTTAAAGGGGCTTCTGGGAAACTCGATCAAACTGATTTGAGGAGCAGTTTAGGAACATCCTGCCTTTCGTTGAGCTTCCTCCCCCCCCCCCTTTTCTCAGTCTAACTGAGGCTAATTTTTGCAACTTCAATAACACTTCAGAGTAAAAGAGGAAAAATATTTAACATCTTTTAATTTTTTTTAATTTCTTGCTAAAAAAAAAACTTGTATTTTGGGGGGACTGATTTGATTTGATGGAATTTCTTTTCCCTTTGATTATCTTATTTCTAGGTTGGAACCAATACAGTTTAAAAATAAAAAATGGGTTAATAAGCTTCAAACAGATAACTGCAACTGAAAACTGCACATTAAGTACAAAAAAAAAAGAAAAAGAAAAAGAAAAAAATATCCTATTTTGTCTTCGTTGCCAGAAATCAGTGTAGTGTCAAACACTCCAAATGACTGTCAAGTATAAATTCTTCTTCCACTCCATTTTTGGCAGCTGTTTGTTAAGGCATCTAATAACAGATGTGAGAACTGTAATGTGTGCAATGTGTACCTGTCCTTGGCTGTCGTCCATTGCAGTTTCAATGTGTGTTTCTATATGCAGTATATACTAAGCTGATGTAGTTGTTTTGTCCTTTGTCTTCTCTGTGCTCTATCTCTAGTCTGGAGTGGCCCCGTCCCATTCCTGCAGTCCTAGTGAATCAGTGATTCTTGGGGGTTAGTGATTTTTGTGTGGTGGCCTTCCTCTGTAATGTCACCCCTATGCTGCTTCTCCCGTCTGTGAACCTTCCGTTTCACTTTATAAAATTC